CTTGTCCCTGACCCGACGTTGCCCTCTCTTTACGATGGTGCCGTGGTACCTGCGCGCTTGGTCTCCTTGTCCCTCACCCGACGTTGCCCTCTCTTTATGATGGTGCCGTGGTACCTGCGCTCTTGGTCTCCTTGTCCCTCAACCGACGTTGCCCTCTCTTTATGATGGTGCCGTGGTACCTGCGCTCTTGGCCTCCTTGTCCCTCACCCGACGTTGCCCTCTCTTTCTGATGGTGCCGTGGTACCTGCGCGCTTGGCCTCCTTGTCCCTCACCCGACGTTGCCCTCTATTTATGATGGTGCCGTGGAACCTGCGCTCTTGGTGTCCTTGTCCCTCACCTGACGTTGCCCTCTCTTTACGATGGTGCCGTGGTACCTGCGCTCTTGGTCTCTTGTCCCTCACCCGACGTTGCCCTCTCTTTATGATGGTGCCGTGAAACCTGCGCTCTTGGCCTCCTTGTCCCTTACCCGACGTTGGCCTCTCTTTATGATGGTGCCGTGGTACCTGCGCTCTTGGCCTCCTTGTCCCTCACCCGACGTTGCCCTCTCTTTTCTATGGTGCCGTGGTACCTGCGCTCTTGGTCTCCTTGTCCCTCACCCGACGTTGCCCTCTCTTTATGATGGTGCCGTGGAACCTGCGCCCTTGGCCTCCTTGTCCTTCACCCGACGTTGCCCTCTCTTTATGATGGTGCCGTGGAACCTGCGCTCTTGGTCTCCTTGTCCCTCACCCGACGTTGCCCTCTCTTTATGATGGTGCCGTGGTACCTGCGCTCTTGGTCCCTTGTCTCTCACCCGACGTTGCTCTTTCTTTATGATGGTGCCGTGGTACCTGCGCTCTTTGTCCCTTGTCCCTCATCCGACGTTGTCGTCTCTTTATGGTGGTGCCTTGGAACCTGCGCTCTTGGTTCCTTGTCCCTCACCTGACGTTGTCGAACCTGCGCTCTTGATCTCTTGTCCCTCACCCGAAATTGCCCTCTCTTTATGATGGTGCCGTGGTACCTGCGCTCTTGGTCTCCTCGTCCCTCACCCGAAGTTGCCCTCTCTTTATGATGGTGCCGTGGAACCTGCGCTCTTGGCCTCCTGTCCCTCACCCGACGATGTCGTCTCTTTATGATGGTGCCGCGGTACCTGCGCTCTTGGTCTCCTTGTCTCTCACCCTACGTTGTCGTCTCTTTATGATGGTGCCGTGGAACCTGCGCTCTTGGTCTCCTTGTCCCTCACCCGACGTTGTCGTCTCTTTATGATGGTACCGTGGAACCTGCGCTCTTGGTCCCTTGTCTCTCACCCGACGTTGCCCTCTCTTTATGATGGTGCCGTGGTACCTGCGCTCTTTGTCCCTTGTCCCTCACCCGACGTTGTCGTCTCTTTATGGTGGTGCCTTGGAACCTGCGCTCTTAGTCTCCTTGTCCCTCACCCGACGTTGCCCCCTCTTTATGATGGTGCCGTGGAACCTGCGCTCTTGGCCTCCCTGTCCCTCACCCGACGTTGCCCCCTCTTTATGATGGTGCCGTGGAACCTGCGCTCTTAGTCTCCTTGTCCCTCACCCGACGTTGCCCCCTCTTTATGATGGTGCCGTGGTACCTGCGCTCTTGGTCTCCTTGTCGCTCACCCGACGTTGCCCTCTCTTTATGATGGTGCCGTGGAACCTGCGCTCTTTGTCCCTTGTCCCTCATCCGACGTTGTCGTCTCTTTATGGTGGTGCCTTGGAACCTGCGCTCTTGGTTCCTTGTCCCTCACCTGACGTTGTCGAACCTGCGCTCTTGATCTCTTGTCCCTCACCCGAAATTGCCCTCTCTTTATGATGGTGCCGTGGTACCTGCGCTCTTGGTCCCTTGTCTCTCACCCGACGTTGCCCTCTCTTTATGATGGTGCCGTGGTACCTGCGCTCTTTGTCCCTTGTCCCTCACCCGACGTTGTCGTTTCTTTATGGTGGTGCCTTGGAACCTGCGCTCTTAGTCTCCTTGTCCGTCACCCGACGTTGCCCCCTCTTTACGATGGTGCCGTGGAACCTGCGCTCTTGGCCTCCCTGTCCCTCACCCGACGATGTCGTCTCTTTATGATGGTGCCGTGGTACCTGCGCTCTTGGCCTCCTTGTCCCTCACCCGACGTTGCCCTCTCTTTATGATGGTGCCGTGGAACCTGCGCTCTTGGCCTCCCTGTCCCTCACCCGACGTTGCCCTCTCTTTATGATGGTGCCGTGGTACCTGCGCTCTTGGTCTCCTTGTCGCTCACCCGACGTTGCCCTCTCTTTATGATGGTGCCGTGGAACCTGCGCTCTTGGCCTCCCTGTCCCTCACCCGACGATGTCGTCTCTTTACGATGGTGCCGTGGTACCTGCGCTCTTGGCCTCCTTGTCCCTCACCCGACGTTGCCCTCTCTTTATGATGGTGCCGTGGTACCTGCGCGCTTGGCTTCCTTGTCCCTCACCCGACGTTGCCCTCTCTTTCTGATGGTGCCGTGGTACCTGCGCTCTTGGTCCCTTGTCCCTCACCCGACGTTGTCGTCTCTTTATGGTGGTGCCTTGGAACCAGCGCTCTTGGTCTCCTTGTCCCTCACCCGACGTTGTCGTCTCTTTATGATGGAGCCGTGGAACCTGCGTTCTTGGTCTCCTTGTCCCTCACCCGACGTTGTCGTCTCTTTATGATTGTGCCGTGGTACCTGCGCTCTTGGTCCCTTGTCTCTCATCCGACGTTGCCCTCTCTTTATGATGGTGCCGTGGTACCTGCGCTCTTGGTCTCCTTGTCCCTCACCCGACGTTGCCCTCTCTTTATGATGGTGCCGTTGTACCTGCGCTCTTGGTCTCCTTGTCCCTCACCCGACGTTGCCCTCTCTTTATGATGGTGCCGTTTTACCTGCGCTCTTGGTCTCCTTGTCCCTCACCCGACGTTGCCCTCTTTTTATGATGGTGCCGTTGTACCTGCGCTCTTGGCCTCCTTGTCCCTCACCCGACGTTGCCCTCTCTTTATGATGGTGCAGTCGTACCTGCGCTCTTGGTCCCTTGTCCCTCACCCGACGTTGCCCTCTCTTTATGATGGTGCCGTGGTACATGCGCTCTTGGTCTCCTTGTCCCTCACCCGACGTTGCCCTCTCTTTATGATGGTGCCGTGGTACCTGCGCTCTTGGTCCCTTGTCCCTCACCCGACGTTGTCGTCTCTTTATGGTGGTGCCTTGGAACCTGCGCTCTTGGTCTCCTTGTCCCTCACCCGACGTTGCCCTCTCTTTATGGTGGTGCGGGGTACCTGCGCTCTTGGTCTCCTTGTCCCTCTCCCGACGTTGTCGTCTTTTTATGATTGTGCCGTGAAACCTGCGCTCTTGGTCTCCTTGTCCCTCACCCGACGTTGCCCTCTCTTTATGATGGTGCCGTGGAACCTGCGCTCTTGGCCTCCTTGTCCCTCTCCCGACGTCCCTTTATGATGGTGCCGTGGTACCTGCGCTCTTGGTCTCCTTGTCCCTCACCCGACGTTGCCCTCTCTTTATGATGGTGCCGTGGTACCTGCGCTCTTGGTCCCTTGTCCCTCACCCGACGTTGCCGTCTCTTTATGATGGTGCCGTGGTACCTGCGCTCTTAGTCTCCTTGTCCCTCACCCGACGTTGCCCTCTCTTTATGATAGTGCCGTGGTACCTGCGCTCTTGGTCCCTTGTCTCTCACCCGACGTTGCCCTCTCTTTATGATGGTGCCGTGGTACCTGCGCTCTTGGTTCCTTGTCCCTCACCCGACGTTGCCGTCTCTTTATGATGGTGCCGTGGAACCTGCGCTCTTGGCCTCCTTGTCCATCACCCGACGTTGCCCTCTCTTTATGTTGGTGCCGTTGTACCTGCGCTTCACGTCTCACGATTATCTTAACATTTCTGTATTGCGATGTGATTCAGAGCTGAAGGAAATACAGCTGACTCATCTGGAGGTCATCAATTTTAACATACAGATATGGCATTATTGGAAGACTTCCAATCTACTTCCTTTAAACTAAAGCATTTGTCTTTCTGAGACCTGAACCTCAAGCCATCGACTCTGATTTAAAACAGGTAGATGGTAGAAAGTTAAAGCACATAATCTGTTCATTCACACAACACAGTCGGAGATAACTTCTATTTCATTTTCGCATTTGTACCAGGCGGGCAATTCAATTCAAGATGCCGCAGTTCAATGTGCAAAGTTGCGACTCTTAGGCGTGCCAGAAACCTACGTTCAATCCCAGACCCTGATCTAGGACCCACAAGACTTCAGGGTTTCCTATTTCACCGAGCTGACATACCATGATGTCGGATGTAGCATCATAACGTCGGATGTAGCACATAAATGTCGGATGTAGGACCGTAATATTGGATATAACACCTAATGTCAGATATAACAGCTGAATGCCTGATGTATTATCTGAGTGCCGGATGTAGCAACTGAATGCCAGATGTAGCAACTGAATGCCAGATGTAGCAACTGAATGCCGGATGTAGCAACTGAATGTCGGATGTAGCAACTGAATGCCGGATGTAGCAACCGAATGCCGGATGTAGCAACTGAATGCCAGATGTAGCAACTGAATGCCGGATGTAGCAACTGAATGCCGGATGTAGCAACTGAATGTCGGATGTAGCAACTGAATGCCGGATGTAGCAACCGAATGCCGGATGTAGCAACCGAATGCCGGATGTAGCAACTGAATGTCGGATGTAGCACATTGATGTCGGTTGCAGCACCTTAATATTGGTTGTTACAACTGAATATCGGATCCGGCACCTGAATGTGTAACATTGTAATGTATGATGTAGCAACTGGATGTCGGATGTAGCACCTCATTGTCGGGTGTAGCACGTCAATGTCGGAACTAGCTCTTAAATGTCGGATCTATAATCTGAATGTCCAATGGAGCACCTCAATGTCCAATGGAGCACCTCAATGTCGGTTGTTGCACCACAGTGCCTGGTGTAGCACATTTGCGGGTCCATAGAGTCACGGGGCTTCTTAATCGATTCGAACTTTGTGACAACATTCAAGAAAACTATGTAATGAAACAAACATAATATTTATTTACATGTTTATGTACAAAATATACTGCAGTAATATATATATGACTGGGGTCAAGTTATATTACCACAGAGCCGGGAATGTAGCCACATAGTTTTAAACATATCACATGTCACGGTATATTTACACACATACCAATACACAGTGACAAGTTCCCTTCAAGGGAAGGGATATTTTATCAAACTTGTAGTTTGTATTTTAACATTTATCCAACATTATTGTTTTCCTTTTAATATTAATACCATATATAGTTGTATCGGAATTATATGACCATCGCGTTCACGTGTGCTTGAGTGGAGAGTTCCGCATCACCATTGTCCGAAGCATGTGTCGTATGATCTTATCGTATGAAACACGCGTGAAGCACTCCCATCATAATAACCCACCGCACATGTGCACTTCAGAACTTTTCAACACACGTGCCACGTGTCAAATGTACGTGTCATGTCATTAAGCTTCAACTATCGCCATCACTGGCACCCGTACGCGCACGTTGCCTGATGCAAGACATGTCCATACGTCTTACGTCATCGATGGCAAAGACACTGACACGACAACAAGCTTCACCTTTCGTCACCGCTACCATACACACTTGCATATGTCTCAGTGCCTCGATTTATGTCATACCTGTCAACTACACGTTCGTATTATTGTCTTATAAAACTCACGTTCACATATTTGGAACATTTATCTTACGTCACAGCTGTAACGTGAACTTTTACATGTCCAGATATCTCTCTTTAAGACACTGCTGTCAAACACACGTGCACATATTTCATTCTATCACCCTTTTAACCACTGTCATATACCTGCACATGCTTTACCACACCCAGCACACGACCGGCTCTCAGGGTCATTATACTCGTGCATCAATCACCTCTTTGCAATCCCAAGGATGTAACGTTCTTCTTGGCATACTTCATCAGGCAATACAGTAACTATAATAATAAATATATAATATTTTCTAAAATATATTCAAGATTCAGTAGAGTTACCAATTCCTAAACTCTGCGGCAGTGATGCTAAATGTTTTACAAACATCTTTTTATTTATCACACAATATCATTAAAGTTTGCATATATAGACCGGAAGCCGAGTTTCCGTGAACAGCATCTCAAGAATGCGTCAGATGGATGTCAGTATTTGGCTAGAAACAAAATGTAGTCTCGGATTCGGGATTCAAACTCAACAGCTTAAACGATATAAAACTGAATGGTCATGCTACATGGGTGTGGGCGTGCCATGAATGTATGCTAGCTTGACAAGAGTTACGATCAAACAACAGCCACATGCCAACACATATTAATATATACATTCATCAAACGGTTGGCTGGGATGGAGGTATTGTATCACTACAGATGAGCGTACTGAGTTGCCTTTCACAATTCAGGGATAACAATCTATTTTAAACCATGTCACACTTTTAAGGAGTTTTTTCCATTCTAATGAAGAGCTCTAAGCGCTTTCGGTTCTCTACTTGCATGTGTACATTGACAGACATCAACATATTTCTAAGTACACTTGTCGAACTATGGCAAGAACTGTCACGTCTTTAAGGCAGAAAGAATACAATTCCTGTAAGTTACTTCGTCGGTGCACCTCCAGGCAAACATAATGAAGCGACCATACAAATTTCACAGCTCTCAGTTCATCGCTGGATGATTATCAGAAGCCAACAAAGTTGTTAATGTTGGCCCTCGAGACGCTGTTCTCCCGGGAGACAGAGACGAGGGACATGCGGGACTTGGTTGGGGAGCAATTGGGGGCAGGGAGGTAGCGGATGCACCCTGTCGACGACTCAGGACTACGGAAGTACACTCTTTCTGTTGTCTTCGAGGATATGGAACTCTGGGACAGCCGTCGTCCCTGGCGATGTGCGCCGATGAAGGATCGGCTGGTGCTGGTGACCTCCCCAAGTTTCTTGCTTCGCCATCGGGAACGTAGACAGCAGCAACATCGTTTAAATTCTCTTTTGAAATTAATCGTGAACATCCCTGTAATAGACAGTGCGTGTTGAGGAAGCGGTATAGCAGGGATGTATGCAATGTTGACAGTCACAACCGCTATTAAAGAGTCAGCTTCGGAGTATCTAGCAATGTATTGCAAACACAGTGTGACTGAAATATGTGTGTGTTTCAGTTAGACTGTGTTTGTCTTTCTATGTCAGAAGGAGCATGAGTACATGTACTGCTGACCCGTGGCAGATTTACTGGAGAATGGGTTTCCGTTTAATCGTTGTTTAAACCATCTGTGCCATTTCTTGCTTTCTCGGCGAAATGCAGTGGTAAACATGCCTGCAACGAAAAGGCACCTGAGTGTCAATCTGATTGGAAAGATTTTTTTGACCTGCTTAATTAAAATGTATACTTTTGAAATTTGACTTTTTCAATTAGAATATTAAAAAAGCATGCAGTAAATTGCAGAAAACACTTCAGCTAACAAATGAAAGGATTTCAGTGCAGGCATGTATTACAACTTGTTTCGTCGCCACCAGAGGAACACACTTTTACATGAACAGACAGCACACGCAGACCGAAACGCACATATCTAACCAAAGAAAGACAGTGAATGAAAGCAGTGGCCTAGTGTCACTTTTCAGACAGGTTAGGGGCGGTCGGGTAGCCTAGTGGTTAAAGCGTTCGCTCGTCTCGCCGAAGACCCGGGTTCGATTCCCGACATGGGTACAATGTGTGAAGCCCATTTCTGGTGTCCCCCCGCCGTGATATTGCTGGATTATTGCTTTAAAACGGCGTAAAACCATACTCACTCACTCATCGTACCACGTGCCAACCTAAATATACTGATAAATATAAAATCATTTCGATTCTCTTTCTCAACATTGGTATCAGTACGTATTCTTCAGCCACTCAGACGAATTAAGATGAATAGTTTATCTCCTCTCCTCCCTCAGTCATTATCAATTACATGATGAATACGAACCAGATATATAAGAAGAAATGAAGACAGAGTTACTGTGATGCTGGTAATTGCCTTACCACAGCCAATAGAGTACGATATTTAATGTTTTGTGACCCACCGTTAACGAGATGTTTATAGTTTATGTTAAGAGACTGAGATATGATGCTGTTTACATCATGCCGGTGCTAAGCCACCACTGCACTATTCAGATTACCTATTAAAGATACATGGATATATTATATACCTGACATAAGAAAAAATACCTTACTAACTACAGACACTAGTAGAAATATTTCACCCTCCACAGAAACTTGAATATATAATTCACTTACTACAGACACTGTGACAAATCATTAACCAACCACACACTAGGGTTAACCATTCACCTACCACAAACACTGGGATAAATAATTCACCCACTACACACTAGTGTTAAGCATTCACCTGCTTCAGACACTGTGATAAATCAATCACCAACCACAGACTAGAGTCAACCATTCACCTACGACAGACATTGGGATAAATCATTTATCTACCACAGAATAGGGTTAACCATTCACCTACCACAGACACGCGGATAAATAATTCACCTACCACAGACTAGGGTTAACCATTCACCTACTACAGACATTGTACCTGCCACATACGCTATGATAAAGTATTTACCAACCAAACATAAGGATAGATAACATACATACCACTTACACTGGAAAAATTACTTCTCTACCAGATACACTGGGATAATTCATTCATCTGCCACAGTAAATCACCTACATCACAGACAATGGATTACTTCCTACAGACACAGAGATACATAATTCACCTACCGCATACATTAGGAAAAAAAATTCACTCACTGCATACACTAGGATCAATATTTCACCTAACACTGATACTAGGATAAATAATTCTCCTACAACAGACACTGAAATAAATAAACAAATCACCTATGATTCTCGTATTGCAGCCATTAGGATAAATAATTCACCTTAGACATCAGAATAAATAATTATATAATTACACCTACAACAGACAGTAGTATAAATACTTCATCTAGCGCAGACACTAGAAAAATATATCATCGACTATAATAAATAATTTACCAACTACAGAACCTGGGATAAATATCGTACCTACACCTGACCCAAGGATAAATAATTCTTCGACCAGAGGCACTGGGATAAATAAGTCCTGCCAAAAACACTAGGATAATTAATTCATTTACCACAGACACTAAAATATGTATAATTATCCTACCACACACACTGGGATAAATAAACCACCTACCACTTCCATTAAGACACACCATTCACCTACCACAAACACTGAGATACATAAGTCACCTACCGGAGAATAATGACTTCACCTGCCACAGATTTTAGAATACATACTACATCTGCCAGAGACACTAGGATATATCATTTGCCTACCACAGACACTACGATATACCATCTACCTTTCACAGACACCAGGATATATCATTTACCTTCCACAGACAAAAGCATAAACCGTCTACCTATCAAGACACTAGGATATACCATCTAATTATCACAGACACTGGGATATACAATCTACCTATCACAGGCACAAGGTTATACCATCTACCTACCACATACACTAGGATATACCATCTACCAATTACATACACTAGGATGTACAATCTACCTACAACAGACACTAGGATATACCATCTACCAATTACATACACTAGGATGTACAATCTACCTACAACAGACACTAGGATGTACCATCTACCAATTACATACACTAGGATGTACAATCTACCTACAACAGACACTAGGATGTACCATCTACCTACCACATACACCAGGATGTACCATCTACCTATCACAGGCACACGGGTATACCATCTACCTATTACAGACACGAGGAAAAACCATCTTCCTATCAAAGGCACTAGGATGTACCATCTACCTTTCACAGACACCAGGATATATCATTTACCTACCACAGACAAAAGCATAAACCGTCTACCTACCACAGACACTATAAAATACCATCTACCTATCACAGGCACAAGGATATACCATCTACCTATCACAGACACTAGCATATACCATCTACCTATCACAAACACTAGGCTATAACATCTTCCTATCATAGACACTAGGATATACCACCTACCTATCACAGACACGAGGATATACCATCTACCTATCATAGACACTAGGATATATCATTTACCTACCACAGACAAAAGCATAAACCGTCTACCTATCACAGACACTAGGATATACCATCTACCAATCACAAACACAAGGATGTACCGTCGACCGATCACAGACACTACGATATACCATCTACCTATCACAGACACTATGATATACCATCTACCTATCACAGACACTGGGATATACCATCTTCCTATCACAGACACTAGGATATACCATCTACCTATCACAGACACTGGGATATACCATCTACCTATAACAGACACTGGGCTATACCACCTACCTATCACAGACACTGGGCTATACCACCTACCTATCACGGACACTAGGATATACCATCTACCTATCACAGACACTGGGGTATACCACCTTCATATCACAGACACTAGGATATACCACCTACCTATCACAAACACTAGGAAATACCATCTACCCATCACAGTAACTAGGATATACCATCAACTGATCACAGGCACTAGGATATACCATCTACCTATCACAGACACTAGGATATACCATCTACCTATCATAGACACAAGGATATACCATCTACCTATCACAGACACTAGGATATACCATCTACCTATCACAGACACAAGGATATACCATCTACCTATCATAGACACAAGGGTATACCATCTACCTATCACAGACACAAGGATACACCATCTTCCTATCACAGACACAAGGATATACCATCTACCTATCACAGACACTAGGATATACTATCTACCTATAACAGACACTAGGATATACCATCTACCTATCATAGACACAAGGATATATCATCTTCCTATCACAGACACTAGGATATACCATCTACCTATCATAGACACAAGGATATACCATCTTCCTATCACAGACACTAGGATATACCATCTACCTATCACAGACACTGGGATATACCATCTACCTATAACAGACACTGGGATATACAATCTACCTATCACAGACACTGGGATATACCATCTACCTATAACAGACACTGGGATATACAATCTACCTATAACAGACACTGGGATATACAATCTACCTATCACAGACACAAGGATATACCATCTACCTATCACAGACACTAGGATATACCATCTACCTATAACAGACACTAGGATATACTATCTACCTATCATAGACACAAGGATATACCATCTTCCTATCATAGACACAAGGATATACCATCTACCTATCACAGACACAAGGATACACCATCTTCCTATCACAGACACAAGGATATACCATCCTCCTATCACAGACACAAGGATATACCATCTTCCTATCACAGACACAAGGATACACCATCTTCCTATCACAGACACAAGGATATACCATCTTCCTATCACAGACACAAGGATACACCATCTTCCTATCACAGACACAAGGATATACCATCTTCCTATCACAGACACAAGGATATACCATCTTCCTATCACAGACACAAGGATATACCATCTTCCTATCACAGACACAAGGATATACCATCTTCCTATCACAGACACAAGGATATACCATCTTCCTATCATAGACACAAGGGTATACCATCTACCTATCACAGACACAAGGATATATCATCTTCCTATCACAGACACAAGGATATACCATCTCCCTATCATAGACACAAGGATATATCATCTTCCTATCACAGACACAAGGATATACCATCTACCTATCATAGACACAAGGATATACCATCTACCTATCATAGACACAAGGATATACCATCTACCTATTACAGACACTAGGATATACCATCTACCTATCACGGACACTAGGATATACAATCTAACTATCATAGACACAAGGATATACCATCTACCTATCACAGACACTAGGATATACCATCTACCTATCATAGACACAAGGATATACCATCTACCTATCATAGACACAAGGATATACCATCTACCTATTACAGACACTAGGATATACCACCTACCTATCACGGACACTAGGATATACCATCTACCTATCACAGACACAAGGATATACCATCTCCCTATCACAGACACAAGGATATACCATCTACCTATTACAGACACAAGGATATACCATCTACCTATTACAGACACTAGGATATACCATCTACCTATCGCGGACACTAGGATATACAATCTACCTATTACAGACACTAGGATATACCATCTACCTATCATAGACACAAGGATATACCATCTACCTATTACAGACACTAGGATATACCATCTACCTATCACGGACACTAGGATATACAATCTACCTATCACAGACACTAGGATACATCATTCACCTACCATAAACAATAGGGTCCATGCAGGAGTTGGAGACGGCAAACAGGAAGAAACCTTTGTGTATTGTATGGTCCACTTTCCGAGCCGATTCCCTGAAATCACAGCAAACATCGTCATCATACTACACAGCTGGAGTCCACGAAGACTACTTCCATTTACGGTTATTTCTTGTTTGCTTTTCCTTTAATGTATAACTATTGTCCCGATTTCCTACGATAATGTTCATCAAGTTCAGCGTCCCTCAACTAGTTGTTTTTCTGTTTATACATGTCTATTTATTTCATAAGCCAACTGATTTTGTCTCATTAGACAGAACATGCAATCTTATCTTTTAATACGCATCCTTGAGGTAAAAAAAACAAGAAGAAATAATAACGTTAAATAATTCATGATGTGCTTATAAACATTTTTAAGAAATAAATTAATAAATTAATAAATGTATAGTTTGTACAGCAATTAACAATCAGTATCGACTATGGACAGTGCGCTTATCGCCTGCAACCAAAGGATGTTTACAGCGGGATACTTTATACAAGACTATCGGGTTAAAACAGTTCCATGTAAAGTGACTTAGGTGCTGAGGGATAGTACGCAGCTGTCCCGAATGGTCTTTTTTGTGGGATTCGGTTGAGATCCGACACGAGTACCCAGCTGTCCGTTGATTTCTAGTTGGGAGGGATCACCAAAAGAGATTCGACTGCATAGTGTTTAGATATCTACATAGCTTCTGGCGCACTTTCCTGGGATGCGGGTAATGACCGTTTTGAGTTACCCCCATTTCGCTTACGTATTTGCACTCTGACCCTGCTAAGTGATTCATTGAGGGAGATGGTGAAGAGGTGTGTGAGTGATGTTGTACTTGGCACTGGATTTCTGAGGCAACTAACTTGTTCCTTACAGAACTTGTCCATTTCTCTATTGCTTCTGGCATATTCGTTTCCCTGCTGCATCTGATATAATGCTTCATTGATTTTTGTTATTGATTTTCTATTGCTTCTAGAAAAAGACTTCTGTGTTGCTGCTACTGGTATGATGGTCCTTAAATATTTGAATTTCAAGGTGGGTATTACATTTTATATACACCTCAAACCCCTCGCCCCTCCACCCACACACCTATCGTTACCCTCGCTTCCTACGCCCATCAAGATGTGGAGCATGTTGATCATATAATAGTCACATTCTAGAAGGTTAAACGCATGGACGGACATAACATAGTAAGTGCTACTGAATGGCCGTGTTTTACTCTTCAAAATATATATATATATATATCCAAACTTTACATTTGGAGTACAAACGAACTATTACGTACGTTGAGATGTATAGTACTTACTTGTCAAACCACCACCAAGCTGATATGACAAAATATGGTGTCCAACACATGGCAAATACGCCCACTGAAAGCAGAAGAAAATAATTAATAAATTTTAGGGAATGGCAAATAGGATACAACCGACGCCAACACTGATCCCGAAACGTGCCACACCAGACATGTCGACGCACAAATAAAATTTATAAGGCCGGGGAAGAAAGGAATTAATGTCATTTATGCAATTTAGAAGCGAGTATGACGTGGCAAACGTAGAACAACCAATTAATGTCGACATCCTTCAATTTCTCGCCGAAGGTTATTTGAAAAATGCAGGTTGACTTTCCGCCTTAGCACCAGGAGCGCAGAACATTTTTTTTACATTTTTGAAAGGCAAGCTAATTTGATTTATCCAATTACGATTCATTAATAGACTGGTGTTTATTTATAGTCGTTATTCCCTGTACCATCATAACATTTTGTGAATATAAATTGAATCCATCTCATTTGTCTATGACGTAACAATAACCGGATGTTGTTGTTTCATCTGAGTGACCATGTGGTCTGGTAAGGTAATCATATTTAGTTCTGTTACTTTCATATGAGTTCGTTCGATGAGCTAGGGCATAGATATCATGTATACATGTACATATATAGTCACCTGATTACAAAAATGGCAAAATATCTTATTCCGTTCCTTTTGCCTAATTGGCTATGATTGACGACACCTTATTCCATTACCATCATCTTATGACTGTGATATAAACAATATATGTCTCGCTACTTTAATCTGATTGTGTTGAACAACGTCTTATTCCACTCTTGAATCTCATAAGCTATGATGTAACAATAACCTTTTACTTTCACATGATTGACACAAATTTAACAATGTCGTGTTCCACTACTTTCTTCCCAGGAGGTTGCCTTAGAAATAAAAACACTTTTGCTTAAAGTGTCTTCCTTGACAATAGGAGTGCAGAACACTTCTTTTTACTTTCTTGAAACGCAAGTCAACTTGACTTGTCATATTACGTTGAATTAAAGAGATGGGTCTCTCTTATCACTTGACTACCAACATTTTAGTCATTCAAGACATCAATAGCTTTATCTCTATTAAGAGTGTCATCATTAAAACAATATCTTATGCGCTACTTCAAACTGATTGAATATGACATAACAATATGTTATTCCGCTACTTTCACTTGAATGACTATGAAGTAACAATATGTTTATTCTGCTACATTCACTTGATTGACTATGATGAATAAACATCGTACGTCGCTGATTTCATCTGATTGGCTACAATGTAACAATATATTATTCCACTACTGTCACTTGATTGACTAAGAAGTAAACAATGTTTTAGATCACTACTATCACTTGATTGACTAAGAAGTAAACAATGTATTATTTCACTACTATCACTTGATTGACTAAGAAGTAAACAATGTATTATTTCACTACTATCACTTGATTGACTATAATGTAACAATGCATTATTTCACTACTATCACTTGACTGACTATAATGTAACAATGTATTATTCCACTACTGTCACTTGATTGACTAAGAAGTAAACGATGTATTATTTCACTACTATCACTTGATTGACTAAGAAGTGAACAATGTATTATTTCACTACTATCACTTGATTGACTAAGAAGTAAACAATGTATTATTTCACTACTATCACTTGATTGACTAAGAAGTAAACAATGTATTATTTCACTACTATCACTTGATTGACTAAGAAGTAAACAATGTATTATTTCACTACTATCACTTGATTGACTAAGAAGTAAACGATGTATTATTTCACTACTATCACTTGATTGACTAAGAAGTAAACAATGTATTATTTCACTACTATCACTTGATTGACTAAGAAGTAAACAATGTATTATTTCACTACTATCACTTGACTGACTATAATGTAACAATGTATTAATCCACTACTGTCACTTGATTGACTAAGAAGTAAACAATGTATTATTTCACTACTATCACTTGATTGACTAAGAAGTAAACAATGTATTATTTCACTACTATCACTTGACTGACTATAATGTAACAATGTATTATTCCACTACTGTCACTTGATTGACTAAGAAGTAAACGATGTATTATTTCACTACTATCACTTGATTGACTAAGAAGTAAACAATGTATTATTTCACTACTATCACTTGATTGACTAAGAAGTAAACAATGTATTATTTCACTACTATCACTTGATTGACTAAGAAGTAAACAATGTATTATTTCACTACTATCACTTGATTGACTAAGAAGTAAACGATGTATTATTTCACTACTATCACTTGATTGACTAAGAAGTAAACAATGTATTATTTCACTACTATCACTTGATTGACTAAGAAGTAAACAATGTATTATTTCACTACTATCACTTGACTGACTATAATGTAACAATGTATTAATCCACTACTGTCACTTGATTGACTAAGAAGTAAACAATGTATTATTTCACTACTATCACTTGATTGACTAAGAAGTAAACAATGTATTATTTCACTACTATCACTTGACTGACTATAATGTAACAATGTATTATTCCACTACTGTCACTTGATTGACTAAGAAGTAAACGATGTATTATTTCACTACTATCACTTGATTGACTAAGAAGTAAACAATGTATTATTTCACTACTATCACTTGATTGACTAAGAAGTAAACAATGTATTATTTCACTACTATCACTTGATTGACTAAGAAGTAAACAATGTATTATTTCACTACTATCACTTGATTGACTAAGAAGTAAACAATGTTTTATTTCACTACTATCACTTGATTGACTAAGAAGTAAACAATGATTATTTCACTACTATCACTTGACTGACTATAATGTAACAATGTATTAATCCACTACTGTCACTTGATTGACTAAGAAGTAAACAATGTATTATTTCACTACTATCACTTGATTGACTAAGAAGTAAACAATGTATTATTTCACTACTATCACTTGATTGACTAAGAAGTAAACAATGTATTATTTCACTACTATCACTTGACTGACTATAATGTAACAATGTATTAATCCACTACTGTCACTTGATTGACTAAGAAGTAAACAATGTATTATTTCACTACTATCACTTGATTGACTAAGAAGTAAACAATGTATTATTTCACTACTATCACTTGATTGACTATAATGTAACAATGTATTATTTCACTACTATCACTTGACTGACTATAATGTAACAATGTATTATTCCACTACTGTCACTTGATTGACTAAGAAGTAAACGATGTATTATTTCACTACTATCACTTGATTGACTAAGAAGTAAACAATGTATTATTTCACTACTATCACTTGATTGACTAAGAAGTAAACAATGTATTATTTCACTACTATCACTTGATTGACTAAGAAGTAAACAATGTATTATTTCACTACTATCACTTGACTGACTATAATGTAACAATGTATTAATCCACTACTGTCACTTGATTGACTAAGAAGTAAACAATGTATTATTTCACTACTATCACTTGATTGACTAAGAAGTAAACAATGTATTATTTCACTACTATCACTTGACTGACTATAATGTAACAATGTATTATTCCACTACTGCCACTTGATTGACTAAGAAGTAAACGATGTATTATTTTACTACTATCACTTGATTGACTAAGAAGTAAACAATGTATTATTTCACTACTATTACTTGATTGACTAAGAAGTAAACAATGTATTATTTCACTACTATCACTTGACTGACTATAATGTAACAATGTATTATTTCACTACTATCACTTGATTGACTAAGAAGTAAACAATGTATTATTTCACTACTATCACTTGACTGACTATAATGTAACAATGTATTATTTCACTACTATCACTTGATTGACTAAGAAGTAAACAATGTATTATTTCACTACTATCACTTGACTGACTATAATGTAACAATGTATTATTCCACTACTTTCATTTGATTGACCATGAAGTTATATTATTCCACTAATTTCACTTGACTATCATGCAACAACTTCGTACCCCGCTGCTTCTTTTTATTGAATATGATGCAACATCTTATTCCAATACTTTAACCTGATTGGCTACGATGTTCAACCATCGTGTGCCGCTGCTTTCATCTGAAATGCTACTATGAAAGAATCCTTTTTTCAGCGATACGTCACTGACGGTCTACATTTGAAAGCTCTTGGTGGCAATGGTTGTACCCCAGTTGTAGTAAAAAATGGCATGATAGTATTTCCTTGTCTTCTTTTCTCAGTCATTACAATGTCATTAAGTCTGCTAAAGTATAGTATACGCTCAAAAAAAGTATGGAGTAATACTATGATCAGTCGTCAAAGAAAGATCAGTTTTGAACACGTGATTGCCAAAAACAGAAGGGTTTCGGAACCTAAGCCTTACTCCCAAAACTTGCATGTGGACAATGCAGTTCCTCTGTGCACATGGGTAGGGGGGCAGTCTTGATTTCTCACTTCAGGGAAAGGTCGTCAAATCGCAATTTGAATTGTTGATTTTCATTTTATCAGAAACAAGTAAGCTCTCAGCTCTGGCTTTGATGCAGTATCTGTGGTCAGATTGGGAACGCGTCTTCTACAACGTGATGACCGCCTGAGGGCTATTGGCATGTTTCAAACTGGAAGAACACAGCGAGAGAAAACCAATATGCCCCATATGGCTCAGACTGATTTGCAGACTTTGGAAAAGGTTTCTGCAGACACAAAATGTTAATGATCGGCTCCGCACATGGCGACCCAGGTCAACATCAGAAGTCCAGGATCGATTAATCAGAAGCGAGGCCAATCAGCCAGTGAAATCGCTGTTCACTTGCCAGGGCACTGGCGTTAACGTTACTGACCATAAGATTAGAAATCGTATGAATGCAACTAATCTGCATGCTCGGCGCCCCACGTGTTGTATCATCCTCAACAACTCGACAAATTCTTGCCCCGATGTCAATGGTGTTTAGAGCGTAAGGGTATCGGCGATGGTAACGTGTAATGTTTTCAGATTGTTCGTTCCAGATTCACTCCGGACTTTCTGGAAAGGCTTGGACGTGTCTGGAGGCGTCCCAACGAACGCAGTGAAAACGTCACATAAGCCAACATGACATATTTCGGGGTGGACTATACTTGTGCCGTTTGCGCGCCATGCTGGTCCACTATAACGCTCGTGTCCACCGTGCATGTATAGTAACCGACTACCCCGAGCAGCAAACCATCACCTGAATGTAATGGCCAGCCATAGGCCCCGAGCTTTTCCCCAATAGAGCACGTCTGGGACGGGACCAGGATACGTGAACGCCGATGTCAAAGGCCACAACATCATGACGTTTTCCCAATACAGCACGTCTTGGACATGATCGGGGGACGTGTACGCCGACCTAAAAAGCCACAAGCTTCGTCAGCCGAACTGAGCAAGGCGCTGCAAGAGTAGTCGACACGACTCCCTTAAACTGGCATTGGGAGATTGATTTGGGCCATCCCAACCCGAATAAACGAATGTTTGTCTAATCATGGGGACATGGCCATCTCAAACGTTCATTCGTTTACTACACACCCCTATCGACTTTCTTGGTTGTTTGCATCCTCGCAATACACAACCAACATTGATTGTCATGTTGGACCTAGTCCTTCCTTTTTCTTATTTATCCCCGCCGATCATTGGATACCTCTTTGTATTTCTGTACGTATTTGTTAATTTCGACAATCCACTGCATATTTTGGAGAGTATAGATTTATATGCCTGACATATGATAAATCGTTTATTGGAGCTTTATGTGATTCGAGTGTGTTATAACACAATTTCATGTACCTCAAAGCCGTTTATATTTAGATATGAAAAGTTGTAATGGGTATGTGTGGAAACTGACAATTAGGGGAAATTGAGTAGTGAGTAAGTTTGGTTTTACGCCGATTTTAGCAATATTCCAGCAATATCACGGCGGGGGATACCAGAAATGGGCTTCACACATTGTACCCATGTCGGGAATCGAACCCGGGTCTTCGGCGTGACGAGCGAACGCTTTAACCACTAGGCTACCCGACCGCCCCCAGGGGAAATTGAGGATGCATTACATATTATATTGGTATGTGATAAGTATTATCATCTTTGAGAAGAGTGTATTCCGTTTAACAACATTCATAAAAACGCAGCATCGATCAGTGTCCAACTGTGTGGGGGTTATAATAATTGTACTGCGACTCAGAAGAGCACAGACGAGATTAAGTCAGACTGTCACAGATTGCGTGATGCTTTGTCTCTTCCCCTTGACTGATCCCTATAATAATCGCTGTAATAATGGATATTAGAATAAACAAAAGGGCACTTTCCAAATTGTAAGACAATTTCTATAATTATGTAATTTTTATTTATGAGGGGAACTGGTAAGAAAAGCCCTTGCGTCGAACATATCTGTGGTCGTTAAGTAACTGGCGAAACTGTCCTGTATTAAGTATAGATTACTATTCCATGAGCATGTAATTACGTGTGAACAGAAATGGATATGTTCTACATAATCTATTTTAATATCGCTGGATACAAGTATTTGTTGGTTAAACGAGTTTGATCTTTCCCTACATTTGGTCTCAGCTGTCGTATGGGACCGACCATTGTTCATGATTTGTTTCTCTTTTTGTTTGTTGTTGTTGTTTTGGGTGTGTTTTTTGTTGTTGTTGCTTTTGTTGTCCTGTATTGTTTTTTATGTTTTTTGTTTGTTTTTTAAATACTTGTTTTATAATAAACACCTTGCAACAATGTGTTTTGAGGCTGACAAAAAAAGGTTTTATCAATGTGAAGCGCCATTATTCTTTCAAAGCTTTTGTCACAGTATCAGAAGGTCGGTCCCCAAAGCAAAGATTATAAGATCGTGGTTTATTTCAGTGATGGATGTCTCTTCAAAAGGTACCATATAGAAACCATTTATAATGAGTTGAAACTAGAGCCATCCTGTCATCTTTTACCAAGATTTGTTTCATTTTGCAACATACAATCAACTGCAACTGCACCCCGCCCGCAGAAAGGAAATGCAATTTATGTCATCTCGATGACATAGGGAATAAATGCCTTGCTGTCTTACATTGTTATAATTCCAATGACATCAGGAAATTATACAGATTATGTCAGTATCGCAACAGGCCATACATTTCATGTTCTATAAGTATATGGTAAGTATTATCATCTTCGAGAAGAGTATATTCCGTGAACAACATTCATAAAACCGCAGTAATGACCAGTGCCCCACTATGGTGGGGTTATAATTGTACTGCGAAAAAAGCCCAGACGAGATTAAGCCAGACTGTCAGAGATGAAGTGATGATTTGTCCCTTCCCGTTGACTGATCCCTATTATAATGGCTGGCTGTAAGGATGGATCTTAAAATATATGAATGGGTACATTTCAAATTGTAAAGACAACTTCTACAAGGAAAAGCCACAATGTTTTGTTTTTTATGAGGGGAAGTGGTAAGAAAACCCCTGACTACTATACTGTCCTGTATTAAGTATAGATTACTATTCCTTGAACATGTAAATCCGTTTAAACAGAAATGGATATCTCCTTTGTAATGTATTTTAATGTCACTGGATACAAGTTTTGTTCGCTATTTAGCTTTCCTCTTAAAACATAAGCGCTGTTATGAAAATATGAAAAGTTGTAATGAGCATTTTTAGAAACTGTCAATTCTGAAATGCAAAATAGATTTTCTGTCCTGAGTGGGTCGAGGTGCATGGGCCATATGCAAGTGCTGTGAAGACAAGAATGGACGTGAAACAAAAGCAGTCCCTACTTACTGTCTGATGTCATCTGTTCATAAAGTAAAAGGTGTGAAGACAATGGGCAAGCAATAAGGTAACGACTCTGTACATGTTGTAGACGCCACAAGGTCCTATATTGGACACATTATCTACCATATGATATACGTGAATGACATAGACGAATACGCACCAATTACGAGAGTCATCTTCAACGTACGTATCCTTGCCCGTTCAATATTCCCCATTGCGGATCGCCTCAGCCCAATTTTTGCCCTTGATGATGTATCTTGAAGCTCATCTGAAATGACGACAAATTTCTCTCAAAATAAAGTGTGTTAGAATGTGTGAGTTTAATTAGTTTTGAAAAGATCTCTCACGTGTACGTTTTACTTTATAAGAATCTGATCGATTTCTTCCGTAGAAATTGAGTGGGTTTCTTCCACAGTAGGGGAGTAAGGTGTGAAGACGCCGAAAGATGACATACTTTTACTTTGCCTGGATTTTTTTGAGATTTCACAGAGTATGAGCGAGTAGGAGACTGTGATGATGAGAAGCGGCATGCCGTAGACGGCGATCACGTGGAACAGGTTGTAGGCCAGCTCGTGGATGGGCGTCGGGAAGAAGTTGAACGTGACACATTGTGTAAACCAGGGGTAGACCGGGTGCTTCTCCACGTGGAATATGACGCTCTGGAACAATGAGGTTGCACGTACAGATACCTGGTACAGTTATCAGGCTATTAAGTGAAGTAAACAGTACAATGAATAGTATTGTACAGCCTTCTGAAATTTGTTTCATATTTTCATAAAATTAATGCGCATGACACTATTCACACACAAAGCTCGACGTTCCCTCTCAACTGTCAGTGTTCAAATCTCAAAGTGAAACTCTCCCCCACTCTCCTCACAGCATTCAGTGCTCCTCTCCCCGCGCTCCACTACCACCGCGCTCCACCTAATCACACAACGATCCACTGTTCTTATCACCAGTTTCCCTGCACCACACAACATTCTCTAAACACCACACTCAACATACAACGTTCTCTGAACACCACACTCCACTCAATATTCTCGGAACACCACACTCCACACTACATACTCGAAACACCACGCTCCAAACAACGTTCTCTAAACACCACGCACAGCGCAACATTCTCTAAACACCACACTCAACATACAACGTTCTCTAAACACCACACTCAACATACAATGTTCTCTGAACATCGCACTCCACAAAGTATTTTCGGAACACCACACTCCACACAATATTCTCGGAGCAACACCCTCCACAAAATATTCTCGGAACACCACACACTACATAACATTCTCTAAACACCACGCTCAGCACAATATTCTCGGAACACCACGCTCCCCACAACGTTCCCTAAGCACCACCAACAACACAATATTCTCTATACACCAGACTCAACATACAATTTCTCTGAACACCACCCTCCACACAATATTCCCGGAACACCACGCTCCTCACAACGTTCCCTAAGCACCACCAACAACACAATATTCTCTATACACCAGACTCAACATACAATGTTCTCTGAATACCACACTCCACACAATATTCCCGGAACACCACGCTCCTCACAACGTTCCCTAAGCACCACCAACAACACAATATTCTCTATATACCAGACTCAACATACAATGTTCTCTGAACACCACACTCCCCACAACGTTCCCTAAACACCACCAACAACACAATATTCTCTATACACCAGACTCAACATACAATGTTCTCTGAACACCACGCTCCACACAATATTCCCGGAACACCACGCTCCTCACAACGTTCCCTAAGCACCACCAACAACACAATATTCTCTATACACCAGACTCAACATACAATGTTCTCTGAACACCACACTCCACACAATATTCCCGGAACACCACGCTCCTCACAACGTTCCCTAAGCACCACCAACAACACAATATTCTCTAAACACCATACTCCAAACAATATTCTCCAAACACCACGCTCCACACAATATTCTCTAACACCATACTCCAAACAATATTTTCGGAACACCACGCTCCACAAAATATTCTCTGAACGCCACACTGTTCACATTCAATATTCCCTGAACACAAAACTCCAGACAATATTCCCGGGAACACCCCACTTCACACAATATTCCCGGAACACCACGCTCTACACAACGTTGTCTAAACACCACGCCCCACACAACGTTCTCTAAAGACCACACTCTTCACATTCAATATTCCCGGAACACCACGCTCCACACAATATTCCCGGAACACCACAGTCCACACAATATTCCCGGAACACCACGCCCTACACAATGTTCTCTAAACACCTCACGCCACACAACATTCTTCAAACACCGCGCTCCATTCTGCGTGTTTCTCTTTAAACACTTTCCAAACACCAAAACATATACAGTGAATAACTTCACATTCCACGCTATTCTTCAAAACCTCCGGCTCCACTCCCAAAAAACAAACTAAGCATTGCCCCTTTTTCTAAAGATATCGAAAGGATGGGTCTTGCACGCAGCATAGTAATCATAAGATATGACTTAATTTGTTAGCCAGACCAGTAGGCACTGCTGGCAATGAGCGGTAAGTTAGACTGACAATAACACGAGACCAACGTAAACAAGTAAAAGTCAAAACATGTATTGGACAATCTACGATAGCTTGCTTCAAATTCAAGCTGGGTGATTCTTTGCCATAGTTAATTCCGAATTTTCATGAGGACCCTCAGTATTGGACAGTCAAACTGACCCATTATTATGATATGACTGTTTCATGAGAAGACGAGTGTGGTATCGTGGTGTGTAGCAATGATGTTTTTTATATGTGGCTAGTACGATGACTAAGTATTGGTTCAGAATAATACGCAAAATAATGGGAGTGTCGTGTTGTATTGATGATGTATTACACGAAATACACAATTAAAAATTGAATACAACATTCAGCGTCTATGCCTACGAGACATGGTCAACCTTAAAAACAAAAACAAAAAAATAACCGGATTACAAACTTTATCCATACCAAACCATGAGTATGTTAATTAAATGTAAATAATGAATAAAATACAATTAAACAGCTGGTAAAAACTATTTAAAGCGAGGGGTTTACTGGTGATAACTGTCGAAATGAGGATTATAATGAGACAATATCTTTCCAAAGATCATATCGTTAACAAACAACAATTGTACTTCTTCTTTACCACTGTTACTGAACAAAGTTAGTGAATTAAGTGAGTATTCGATGGTGAGAGAGCATTACTTACCCTCGTTACTTGTTTACAAATTAGTGAACTCTCATTATTTCATGATGAGAGCATTGCTAGCACACAATACAACAATACTTTCTTTACTTGTTATTAACTTAGTGAACTTTCAGTATTCCATGGTGAGAGATTATTGCTAACAACGAACACTACCAGACCTTCGTCGTTGGTTTACAAATAAGTCAGCATTCATTATTCGATGGTGAGAGAGCGTTGCTACGACTAAACACAACCATACTTTTATAACTTGTTTACAATGCAGAAAACTCTCATTATTCGGTGGTGAGAGAGTGTTGCTACGACGAAACACAACCATACTTTTGTTACTTGTTTACAATGCAGAAAACTCTCATTATTCGGTGGTGAGAGAGTGTTGCTACGACGAAACACAACCATACTTTTGTTACTTGTTTACAATGCAGAAAACTCTCATTATTCGGTGGTGAGAGAGTGTTGCTACGACGAAACACAACCATAATTTTGTTACTTGTTTACAATGCAGAAAACTCTCATTATTCGGTGGTGAGAGAGTGTTGCTACGACGAAACACAACCATACTTTTGTTACTTGTTTACAATGCAGAAAACTCTCATTATTCGGTGGTGAGAGAGTGTTGCTACGACGAAACACAACCATACTTTTGTTACTTGTTTACAATGCAGAAAACTCTCATTATTCGGTGGTGAGAGAGTGTTGCTACGACGAAACACAACCATAATTTTGTTCCTTGTTTACAATGCAGAAAACTCTCATTATTCGGTGGTGAGAGAGTGTTGCTACGACGGAACACAACCATACTTTTGTTACTTGTTTACAATGCAGAAAACTCTCATTATTCGGTGGTGAGAGAGTGTTGCTCCGACGAAACACAACCATAATTTTGTTACTTGTTTACAATGCAGAAAACTCTCATTATTCGATGGTGAGAAAGTGTTGATACGACGAAACACAACCATAATTTTGTTCCTTGTTTACAATGCAGAAAACTCTCATTATTCGGTGGTGAGAGAGTGTTGCTACGACGAAACACAACCATACTTTTGTTACTTGTTTACAATGCAGAAAACTCTCATTATTCTCTGGTGAGAGAGTGTTGCTACGACGAAACACAACCAAACTTTTGTTACTTGTTTACAATGCAGAAAACTCTCATTATTCGGTGGTGAGAGAGTGTTGCTACGACGAAACACAACCATACTTTTGTTACTTGTTTACAATGCAGAAAACTCTCATTATTCGATGGTGAGAGAGTGTTGATACGACGAAACACAACCATAATTTTGTTCCTTGTTTACAATGCAGAAAACTCTCATTATTCGGTGGTGAGAGAGTGTTGCTACGACGAAACACAACCATACTTTTGTTACTTGTTTACAATGCAGAAAACTCTCATTATTCGGTGGTGAGAGAGTGTTGCTACGACAAAACACAACCATACTTTTGTTACTTGTTTACAATGCAGAAAACTCTCATTATTCGGTGGTGAGAGAGTGTTGCTACGACGAAACACAACCATAATTTTGTTCCTTGTTTACAATGCAGAAAACTCTCATTATTCGGTGGTGAGAGAGTGTTGCTACGACGAAACACAACCATACTTTTGTTACTTGTTTACAATGCAGAAAACTCTCATTATTCGGTGGTGAGAGAGTGTTGCTACGACGAAACACAACCATACTTTTGTTACTTGTTTACAATGCAGAAAACTCTCATTATTCGGTGGTGAGAGAGTGTTGCTACGACGAAACACAACCATAATTTTGTTCCTTGTTTACAATGCAGAAAACTCTCATTATACGGTGGTGAGAGAGTGTTGCTACGACGAAACACAACCATACTTTTGTTACTTGTTTACAATGCAGAAAACTCTCATTATTCGGTGGTGAGAGAGTGTTGCTACGACGAAACACAACCATACTTTTGTTACTTGTTTACAATGCAGAAAACTCTCATTAATGGGGGGTGAGAGAGTGTTGCTACGACGAAACACAACCATACTTTTGTTACTTGTTTACAATGCAGAAAAACTCTCATTATTCGGTGGTGAGAGAGTGTTGCTACGACGAAACACAACCATAATTTTGTTCCTTGTTTACAATGCAGAAAACTCTCATTATACGGTGGTGAGAGAGTGTTGCTATGACGAAACACAACCATAATTTTGTTACTTGTTTACAATGCAGAAAACTCTCATTAATGGGGGGTGAGAGAGTGTTGCTACGACGAAGCACAACCATACTTTTGTTACTTGTTTACAATGCAGAAAAACTCATTATTCGATGGTGAGAGAGTGTTGCTACGACGAAACACAACCATAATTTTGTTCCTTGTTTACAATGCAGAAAACTCTCATTATACGGTGGTGAGAGAGTGTTGATACAACGAAACACAACCATACTTTTGTTACTTGTTTACA